AGGAGAATGGGTTAAGAGATGAGTGGAAAGGACAAGGGAGAGGAGAAGGGGGTGGAGGGGGGCGGGGGAAAGGGAAACGGGAGAGGAAAAGGGGGTAGAGGGGAAGGTGAAAAGGAAAAGGAAGAGGAGAATGTGGTGGAGGGGAGGGTGAAAAGGAAAAGTGAGAAGAGAATGAGTTAAGGGATGGGTGGAAAGGAAAAGGGAGAGGAGAAGGAGGTGAAGGGATGGGTGGAAAGGAAAAGGAAGAGGAGAAGGGGGTGGAGGGGAGGGTGAAAGGCAAAAGGGAGAGGAAAAGGGGGTAAAAGGGAGGGTGAAAGGGAAACGGGAGAGGAGAATGGGTTAAAGGATGGGTGGAAAGGGAAAGGGGAGAGGAGAAGGAGGTGGAGGGGAAGGTGGAAAGGAAATGGGAGAGGAGAAGGGGTTGAGGGATGGGTGGAAAGGGAAAGGGAGAGGAGAAGGGGGTAGAGGGGAAGGTGAAAGGGAAAAGGAAGAGGAGAATGGGTTGAGGGATGGGTGAAGAGGAAAAGGGACAGGAAATAGAGGGTGAGGAATGGGTGAAAGGGAAAGGGGGAGAGGAGAGACTAGGGCAAAGGACGGGTGAAGAGGAGAAGCGAGAAGAGAGCGGGGTGGTGAGAAGTGGGGAGAAGGGGGAATAGGCGGAAAAGGAATGGGGGGGATAGGAGAAAGAGTGAAAAGGAAGGAAGAGAAGAGAGAATAGTGTGGTGAGGAATAATCGGGGGACGAGTGAAAAGGAAGTGGATACAGAGGGAACAGAGAGATAAGGAATAGACTGAGAGATGAGTGAAAGTGAAGAGAGAAGAGAGGATAGAGAGTTAAAGAGTGTGGGGAAGGGGAGAGAAGGAGCGAAGGGGGAAGGGGGTGGCAAAAGAATAGGGAATTAAGAAATGTTGATTGTAAATTATGCTGCGGGCGGAGAATAAGGTAGAGAGAAGTTTGAGAAAGAAAGGGAGAAGAATATAGAATGGGGAGAAACGAGGAACATGGGAGGGGAAGAGCACTGAAAAGAAAATAGGAGAGGGGAGAGGGAGGAAGAAAAGATAACTGAAATAGTCTGGGGGAGGAAAGGAAAGAAAATTTAATAAGAGGAAATGAGAGAGAGATAATAAAGTAAATTGATGGGGCAAGGCAACGAGATAAAAATAAAGAAGAGGAGAAGGTGACAAAGATGTACGAAAATAAAAAGGAATAAGAAATAGAAGAACTAGAATATTGAAAAGGAAACGCAGGTCATTCTTAGGTCATTCGTGTGCGGTCACCGGAGAGAAGATAATTAGCAAGAAGCGAGAAGAAAGAAGGAAGAGGATTAGAACTAAAACAAAAGAGTGAAACACAGTTCAGTGAAGATATGAGAAGGGAAATTGCCGGTAACGTTAAGTCTGTTATTTCCTTTCTTGGTTCATATATTCCCCGTCATTTTCTATTTAACCGTCATCCCTTCTCTTTCCTTTTCTTATTTCTCTACATCATTCTTTCTGCTTCTTCCTCCTAGTCTTCCCTTCTTCCCTCTCCCTTCACTCTTATTAATCTCTTCTTCCTCTTATCCCATATTCATTCTCCATTTCCCTCTTCTTATCGTAGGCAGATATAGCAACATTAAACCATTTCTTCCTTAACATCATTAACAGCATTATGAGAATCTGCATTTTTTTTTTTCATCAGATTCATCGTCTTACCGGCGTCAAAAACATCTTCATCATTATATTATCGACATTAAAAAAATAAAATAAAAATCATTTATCAACGTCATCAACGCCAAAATCATCATCTTCATCATCATCGTAAAAAAATAATAATAATAATTTAAAAAATAAATAAATAGAAATAAAAAAATCCTTCCTGATCGTCATCAGCGTTCCACTTCATTTCCTTCTTCGTCTTTTTTTCTTTATTCTTTCTTTCTTTCTATCGTTCTTTCTCTCTCATTCTTATTCCAAAATGCCATTCCCCCTCAGCATCATCAAGGTCCCCAAGAGAAATGAATGTTTTAAGGAAGTTTTTTGACGATTATAATGAAATGGAGAAATCAAACTTGTTATATTTCTTTGGATTTGTTCCTTTTTTTCCTTCGCTTTTTCCTTTTTTTATCTCCTTTTTTTCCCCCTTTTCATGATGTAAATGCAAATGTATTCCAAGGAGTCGTTAAGGATTTGTGATGGTAATTTTTACCTCTTGGGAATTATTGTGAGGATTGGACAGAAGGAAAATGTGTGCTTTTGTGCAATAAAATTACCTTTGTTATGCGCGGTGAAAGGAAGGTCAGTTTTATTATCATTAGAATCATTATTATCATTTACTATTATTATTATCATTTTTATTATTTTTATTATTATTATCATCATTATCACTATCAGAAGTAGTAGTCGGAGTAGTACTGCTTTACGATTATTGTTATCATTACTATTATTATCATTATCATTATTATTAGTAATAGTAATAGTATCAATATCATTGCTATTATTATTATTATTGTTATTGTCATCCTCATTATCATAAATTCTATGAAGTTCCTCAACTTTTTGCCACACGCACATACGCACTCGCTATTTCCCGAATACGCCCCCAGTCAATTCTTTGTTATTTTATGGTATATTCCTAATTTCCATTAATCTTATCCCAGCATTTCTAACATCTTGAGGGTTGACTTAAAATTAATTGTGCCTCTTAATGAGTCTGGCATTTGACGGCGCGTGTAAGAGATTTAAATGCCTTTGCTTTTAAGTCTTTCTTGAAATATGAAGGTCAAATAGGGTTTGTTTACAGGGCAATAATTGGAGTATTCGTTGTCCTGTATTTTTGGTTTATTTAAAAATGTAATCATATTTATCATCATCATCATCATTATCATTATTATTATTATTATAATCATCATCATCATTATCATTATTATCATCATCATCATCATCAGGATCATCTTCATTATCATCATCGTTGTCGGTGATGTTATTGTCATCATTATCATTATTGTTATCATTATCATCATCAGTTTTGTTATTTTTATCGGTGCTAGTATCCCTAACATTAATGTAATATTTATCTCTTAATATCACCTTTACGTTTATCTTCATGTTTCATTGTTATCATCATCATGCTTGCAACTACCCCCTACGACTATTCCTTCCCACCACTATTACACGTACCATTACTTGTATTACCCTGATTAACATTAACGTCATAACTATCATTTACAACCTCCCATAATTCTAATAAATAGAATAAGATCTCCTCAAAGTCCACCAGGCCAGATCACACTCCGCTAAAAGGAAAATTCCAGCCGAAGACTTTAATTTAGGCGGTATCTTGTCGATTCAATTAGACGTCAGCCGGTTCCCTCGCAGATCGAAGCGACACCAAAGCGCGTATTTGAGAAGGCCTCATTTGACTACCTTGCCCTGGGAGGAATCAGTGATGAAAAAATCCTGTTCTTCGTTTAACGTAATTTTTATTTTATTATTTTTTTTTTTTTCTATTTTGTATTGTTATTCTTTTAGGGGTGTGTTTCTGTGTGTCTACTGTGTAGATACATAGAGACATACGAATGCAGGTATGAACACACAGACACCCTTATCATCGCTTCTATTCACCTCTTCGCTCTCTCTTATATCTTTTGAATTATTTTTATCTCATCTCTTTCTTTCCGCCTTCTCTTACCTTCATTTTCTCTTTTCCCCCCTCTCTCTCTTTCTCTCTACCTCGTCTTTCATGGTTTCTAATCTCTTTCTCCTCCTCTTTCTCACTCCCTAATCATCTCATCCACACTTTCCCCTTTTTTCTCTCACACTCTCCAATGTCTTTCTTCACCCATTTCTCTTTCCCTAATCCTCTCACCCCCATCCTTTCTCCTCTCCTCTCTCCTTCTTCTCTCACATTGTTGAATCTTTCTCCTTCTCCTTCTCTCCTTCATCTCTTCACCTCCGCTTTTCCCTCTCTTCCTCATTCCTCACTCCTCTCTCTCTCTCTCTTACCCCCCTCTTCCCCCCTTTCTCTCACATTCTCGAATATCTCTTCCACCTTCTCCCTTTCTCAGCCCTGCACCCTCCTCTCTCCCCTCTCCTCCTCTTTCTTCATTCTTCCCTTCCCCTTTCCTTGCAGTAAGTTTATGTGATCCCTGACTCTTAGAGGAAACCCCATGATAAAGTTTTATAATCCTTAAACCCCAAAAGTGTCCACGGAGCAATTATATTCCATTATATCACAGCGGACGCGTTTAAGAACACACCTAACAGGGGGTTGTGCAGATGTATCCACCTTGTGGTTTCTTTTTTACTCGTCTTTTTTTTTAATATCTTGTTTTGATATTTGTTTGTTTGTTCGATTTTTGTTTTTGTGCTTGTTGTTTGCGGTCATTGTTACTTTCAAGATTATTGTATGATTAAGTTCGTGCAGATCTTGTTTTTTTTATGTATCTGTTTATTGTAATATTGTAATCAATTCTTCCTGTTTTTTCTCTTTCTCGGTTAAACCATCCATTAGGTGACAGTGACAAAGCATTCTTCGTAAAAGAATCAGTGAAACAATTCGAAAATTACTCATTTCGAGAGGAATTTTGATCAATTCCTGTTTTCATGTATTCAGTTAACCAACATATACATCAATTAACTAAATATTTTACAAAAATCTAGGGACACTATTATTGCAAAACCCGTAAAGCCGATTTAATAAAAATGAAAACAGCAAAATATGAAAATCCTAATGGAAAAGGTCTTTTACCTCACTATTTCACAAAATCAGATAACATCCTTAGTAGTGGCAACAATTATATAAGCAGAAGCTGTAGTTGTAACTGTAGTAAGTTATAGTAATAGTAAATTGTAGTAAGTAGTAGAAGCTGTAAGAATAATAAGTTGTATTAGTAGACGTAGTAGTAGCAGTTATAGAAGAAATACTTTCGTGGCCATGAACATTTAAGCCTGGATTCACGATTACTCTTTCTTGTTAATATTTCTATGTTAATCCTGTCGGCCTTTACTCATCTCCACCTT